TCAGGAAACCTAAGTCTAACTATAGGATTTATCAAAAAGGAAAGTCTTCAGTCTAATCTTAAAAGTAGACAGAGTGTCAGCCTCARGGACAGAAACWGGAAGTTGGTTCCACAAGAGAGGAGCTTGATAACTGAAAGCTCTGCCTCCCATTCTATTTTTAGAAACTCGAGGAACCACAAGTAAACCTGCAGTCTGAGAGCGAAGTGCTCTGTTAGGGAAGTATGGAACAATAAGATGTTTAATATATGATGGAGCTTGGTTGTTAAGAGCTTTGCATGTTAGGAGTAATATTTAAAATTCTACTCTAAATTTGACAGGGAGCCAGTGGAGAGAAGCTAAAACTGGAGAAATATGATGGATTTGGAGTATGGGTCATGGACCCAAAAACCCAGCCAACAAAGAATGAAATAAGTTCCATAATTTACTATAAAATTGAAATGATTTCTGCATCAAGGAGTGGGACCTCCAGGACCATATGCAAAGATGGCAATTGCTCTTCTGAGGAGAAACAGTCCAAAGAAGATCCTGGGGCAAAAGGGGAAGCATGGTCAGAAGATAGTCCTGGGTTTGTTAACGTGGATTCCACTGACAAAATCTGCAGTCAGAGAGGGGTCAGGAATTAAGCGTGGGTCAAATCTATTAAATCCGAGATCACAAAAACCAGATGAGGCAGGCAAATAGCGGAGATTCATGCGGCAGAAAACAAGGTTGAGATCACAGTGGCATGGGAGCTTCAGATAATCCAGCACTTGTGATGTGTTACAAAGGAGCTTAAATACTGAAGAGCATAGCTGCAGATGCTAGACAGGCACAGGTGATCGTGGTTAACTGATCAGTCATTGGGAGAACAGAGGTATGGAAGTCCAGACATGACAAAATAATCCAAAACACATGAATTATGACAATCTCCTTTTGGATAAATTTACACCAAGATCAACTCCTTCAGCTTGGCCTTCAGAGGAGCAGGACATGCTTTTGCTCCCTCTGCCGCCCCCCCACGCTTAGCTGCTTTAGCTTTTCCAAGCTCTTTTTTCACCTTCCATTCGAAACTAAAGGATTTAGTCAACTGGACTCTGAATGAAATTTGGTCAACTGGACTCTGAATGGAATTGACTCTATTTTTTCTACACTTGGAACGAGGGGAACGTGGCTGTTTGGATGGAATGGTTGCTGCTGGATTTGTCTGATTCCTGGGGCTGGAATCTGATATGCCAGCACCACTTTCCATCAAAGACATTTAAAATCATTATTTATTTGGATTATGATAACTGGATTCCTGCTGATCGGCGGAGGAGTGTTCCAAATTTATTGAAAAGTGAAAGCGACCCTGACAGTGGATCAGGCCTTTGAAGGGCTGTCGGGCCCACTTGAAGGATTCTTCTGGTTGGAAGCACACACACTCTAAGCTGGGGGAAAAATTCGCAAACTGGATGTGATTCGATCACAGCTCAGGAGCGACCCTACAGCATGTATGGACTACATCTGGGTGAGCTTCAGACGGTGAGAGGCGAGGGATGACCCCAAATTCGTCTGATTGGCTTTTTTTCACCACCTCAGAGTTTGCAGTAAAGACACTTGAAAAGCAGCAGGAATTTCAAGGCTGCTTTGTTCCAAAACAACTGGATTCGCTATCTGGCTCCCAGCGGCCCGACCTTGAGGGCAGTGCTTATCTTAACTTCCCCAGGATGGAATGTCAACTAAGAGCTGGATTTGCTCCCACCCCCATCACCCGTGTTGGACCCGGCCTTGGAACTCAATTGGCTGAGGAGGAGGAAAATCTCTGAACTCTAGCGAACTGAGTAGAGACAATAGCATCATGTGACTCTGGACTCTGGATGGGCCCAGGGTTTGTCCTATTACGGAGCCCTCCTCCCTCAACGTCACCTACTCCTCTGAACCTGCCCCATTGTACCTCCCCTTTATGTGTTATCTGACCTAAGCATCCCCCAGGCTGTCTTGCTGTCTCGCAGGTTGTTTAACTCAGTTTTACTTTTGTGTATTTCAAGCTATTGTTAAAGGTAGCACAACTGTGTTTGCTACATGACCAGTTTCACCTGTTCCCCCATGTTTGTCTGTCTTCTTGAATGGGTGTTTCTTAATTGCCCCCTTCCCCCTTCCCTTCTGTGAAAGGCGCTATATAAATAAAACTTTACTTATTTACTTACTTACTTAAGATGAGAAATGATGGAGTAGAAGCTTGGAAATATGAGATGTTAGCACTCAGAGCCCATGTTACTGACTCCCAGTTACTACAATTGTATCATTTGGTTTTAGTTTCTGTATATTTGAGTAATATATTTCTATATTATCCATTTTATTATATTTGTTTGGTAAAATGGCTGAGCTGTGATGACCATCTTGAACATGAGTACTTCCAAACATTATTGAGTTGTAGATGCACACTCAGTGAATACTTTCTGAGGGTTTCATTAAAATCTGCCCTGCCGTACACAACATATTTTGCTAACCCTAAGATAAAGACACAAACAATAATATTTTCACTCACAAGGCTACAAATAATCAGCTGTGATTCAAGCTGAAGCTTCATGGCAGAGAACGATTTGATTAACATCTCAAAGACAAACTCAACTGCACCGAGAGTGAGAGTGACACCACTCAAACATTGTGCACACATGGTGCACACATCATGCACACATCATGCACACATCGTGCACACTACTGTGTCACGTTTTTCCTCCCAGAGACAGCTCAGAGTGCAGGATGAGGTGGCGCAGCGCTGCAGCTGCCAGCTGTCTAATGTTAGAAAAATCCACACATTTGTTATTTTACGATTTATTCCAGTTAGTGAACGTCCTTTGAAAGCAGCGTGGTCTCTTCCTCTCATCTCCACACGCAGCTTGGTAGGTTGCCATGGTTACCAGGATGCTTTGTTTCTCCAGCAGCCACTGATGTGTGTTTCTAAGTTAGCTGCCCTCATTTCAAAGCCAGGCAGGTGCCTGTGGAGCGGTGTCAGCATACTCAGATGGAAACGTGGTGCAGCAGCTCCACGTTCTGCAGGAGCCTACTGGGAAAGAGCTTTATCATCTGCCAGCAAACTGAGAGGAGTCATCATGATTT